TGCTTTTCTCTCTTTTAGTTCTCTCATTATTTGACCGTGAACTTGGGCTTATTTGTGAAAGTGTCCAGTAACTGAACTTAACTCAAGTCTTTGCTTTCTGGCAAGAGGAATGAGTAGAGGATCGATGATGAAAAAGAATATTCAGCAGATCACCAAGGTGGAAGATCTTGGGGAAATGACACTATACAGTTGTTTATGAGGTTCTGAGCGATGCCAAGCTCACATGATTCAATCTAATCCTATTCAGCATATGAAAGAGACTCGAGAAATGAACTTGTTATATCACTGCCTGTGTACTAGCTTAGGCACTGGGCATTTCATATGCTGGCAAGAGGCCCAATCGCCTTGTTAAGGTTCTGAAAATCAAATATTGAGGCCATTGCTGGCAGAAGGTGGGCTGGAACTCTTTTTCTAAGTCTAGTCAGGCATGCTTCATGCTAAAACTAAGTATCAACATTTCTTACCAGTTTTAAGTAAGACTTAGTGACGTCATTGAAGATGTCCAGAATATAATCCAGACTACTCGGTTTCCAAGGAATCAGTAAAATTTCAACCCAGAAAGAAAGCAAGTAAATTTCAATGCTCAGATGACACAGAATTTAAAATTATTTGACAGACTTCAGTTACTTTAAAATGCTCCAGGAACAATTGCAAAGACCCTCAAAACAAATGAGAAAAAAAAAACCTTAGAAAAAGTAATATTAAAAGTAGATAGAAATGTTAAAACTGAAAAACACTATAACTGAAATTAAAAAAATAAAAAACCCTCACTAATAAACTCACTGGATGAACTTAATAGCAAACATAGGGGTGTCAGAGGAAAGACCCAGTGTACATGAAGATAGATCAATAGAAATTATTCAATTCAAACCACAGAGAGAAAGATAGGAAGAACACAAATCAGGAATTTCTGGAGTAATAGAAAAAAAGTCTACCATTCTTATTGTACAAGTGCTGAAAGGAGAGGAGAGTGATCCTGAAAAATTCTTAAAAAATGAACAGATCCTGAATGGGATAATTCATGGATAGACCCAAGGAAATCCATTTCCACACTATGACTAGTGTGTGTGTGTGTGTGTGTGTGTGTGTATGAGGAACGAGAAGTTTTATATACATATAAAACTAAAGACAAAGAAAAGTCTTAAAGCTACCAGAGGAAAATGACAGTGACTCATTGTTTATAGAGACACAATGATTCACATGACAATGATTTTCTCATCAGAAGCCTTGGAGGCCAGAAAGAAGAAAGAAAATATTCAAGTGCTAGAAACAAAGAGCTTAAAACTGTATATCTGGTGGAAATATCTTTCAGGGTTGAAGGTGAAAGAAATGTATTCTTTCATCAGGAAAACTAAGAGTTTCATTTCATCCGGAAACTATTGCTGGAAATAGCCATTCCTCTCTTCGCTATGCATACTAATGCTAATACTACGAAAGATCTTTCACACTAAGAGTTTTTTTTTAAATTTTTTTTAAAGATTTATTTATTTGTGCATACAGAACTGGGGTACAGGCCAGAGGCTCAGGGGCGGTGAGAGGCTTCACTAGAGAAACAGTGGGGAACAGAACAGGCAGATCAGCGAAGTACACTGCTGAGGGGAGCAGCAGGTGTGTCAGGAGAGATCTGCCACACCATGTGGTCACCTCTGGGGCAGGCGGGAATTGAACTCGTGCAGAAGCGGCTTTAGATTCTCAGTGCTGTGCTTTAACCCACTGCGCCACCAGGGAGGGCCGCTAAGAGTTTTTTTTTTAATCTTTGTGTGTGTGGATGGTTTGATCCCTTTCAGAGCGGGCACTTAATAATTTGGGGCCCCTGGGTGCCACCCCTTGGTTGCATGCTAGCACTCTCAAGGCTAACCCTTGGAGCAGCTTCTGGGAACACACATGCCAGGGGTGAGACTCGATCCAGCCTGGGCATCAGTTTGGAGTCATAGTCTTTTGACTGCCTCCCTTAGTAGTCTTTTGACTGCTGAAAGCAGTGAGGTCAAAGGCAAGCATAAACCCACTGTCACATTTCTTTTGCTGTAAAATGAATTCCTTGGCTGGAAGTGATATTGTGTGAATTATAATAGGTCTGGGATCAAAAGGAGAGTAACAATCAAAAGGAGAGTAACAGTATATGGGTGCCAATCCCAGTCTGGGCCACATTGTCCCATGGGTGTTGGAGATAATATGGCTAGTGTTAAGCTACAAAATCTAAACAGATTACTCCAGCTTCTCATCTTCAGACTGAAATCCCACCCAAGGTGCCAAGGGCACACAAGCTTCTTCCTCTAAGGATTTTCTCTCCCAAATGCTTTATCAAAACAGCTTAACAGTGAACTGAAGTTCTCTTGGAATGCAAACTGTGCTTATTGATAAAAAGCAAAAAGATAGCTGGAAGGTGGGGTGTTGTTTCAGAACTTCTGCTCAGACCAGGCAAATGCAGTTGGGGGTGGGGCTGAGAGGAATGCCATCTGACTCTTCTCACTAGTAGGACCTGAAATCCAGGACACAGGCCTGTTACACTTGGATTTAAGCAGTCCTGCACAAGCCATGAGTCACAATGCTCCTGTCAGTGCCTGTCAGAGATCTGAAAGCAGCATTTATATTCTTCTCTTTACCACTGATGCCTAGAGAAAGAAACAGAAAGAAATGCAAGAACTTTTCCTTCCCATTTGTCTGTTTCTGGGGGGCAGAGAATAATACTTTAGAGGACATACCATAGCAGATGCTTTGAACATTATAAGAATATGTAACAGGAATACTAAATGCTGGCCAGGGAGGTCAGAGAAGTCACTCAAGAGAAAAGGACTCAAAAGCTGAAACACAGGGTGAATACCAGTTGTGTATGAGAATGTGAAGAGGTTGCTGGGGATTGGGGAACAGAAGAGGGCTCTTGGCAGAAGGAATGACATGTGCAAGGTCCTGGTGACAGGGCAACGTTTGGTTCTTGAAAATATAAAAGGAAATAAATTTGGGTCTCCCTGCTGGCACAAGGGGTTATGTTTCAGCACTATGAAGTACTCTGCAACCACTGCAGCACAAATTTGATTCCCAGCCAGGGAGGTGACCTACATGGTACAACAGACCTCTCCTGTCTTGCCTGCTGCTCCCCTCAGCAGTGTATTTCAGCTAAGCCACCTGCTGTGCTCCCCACTCTGACTCTGGTGAATCCTCTTGCCTCCTCAAACCTCTAGCCTACACCCCAGCTCTTGTATGCATAAAATAAATAAACAAAAGATATTAAGTTGTCAGAACACCAAGTATAAAGCACTGGAAAACAAAGGTTTAAGTAGGAGGAATTACAGGGGCCTCTGCTACTATAGCAAACACTTCTAAGGACAGCAAGCAGCCTATGGAAGGTGGATGACCAGTTAGGTTCGCATTTAGGACAGCAATAGTCCGAGGGACAGGAGAATGGAGGTAGGAAGGCCAAGTGGGTAATCAGCATGGTGGCTAACTCAGCCAAAAGATGATGACTGAATCATAGACATGATAATAGAGAGGAAAAAACATGGATAAATATCAGGGATGCTTAAGGAGTATTGTGAGTATTCATAAGGAGTATTGTGAGTGTTCAATGTAGGGAGTGAGAGAAAGTTGACTGGGTGGATCTGTCATTCTCTAAGAAGGAAAGAAGTAGCAAGTATAGAGGAGAATATAATAAGGTGACAGTCAGCCCATGTGGAAGGGCTTGGAGGTTGTGCATGCTAGCCTACCCAAAGTATAAAAATATTTAGAAGATGAACAAGATTTCACAAGAAAACCAAAAGTGGCCAAGAGGTAGAAGGAAATGATTTTGCTGAAGTACAGCAGTTACATGGAGTATCAATATCCAGGGCTACCATTGACAAGTTTCAATTTATTTTTAAATTTATACTTTTATGTGAATAGTGTAGTATATCAGTTCTTAAAAGTTTTGGTTCTATAACATACAAAAGAGAAAATAATGCTGGCCCACATGATGTTTCTCTTCTCGTTGGGGAAGATTAGGCAGTGAACAAATAAAATAGTGAAACATAAAGCAGAATTTATTTACCATGTATATACGAAGGTGGTAAGGCCTATGCAGAAAAATTTCAACATAAAGAGGTATAGGGAAGGCTGGGAGGATATCTGCAAGGACAAAGGAGGGCCTCCTCGGGAAGGCATCATTTCAGTAAGACCTGAAGGACGTGAAGGAGCCAATTGGATATCTGACTAAAGAGCTTTCCCAAATATCTTTTTAAAAAGTTTTAATTTCTCCCTATTTTTTTTTCTGTATTCAAATCTATTCTTTCTGGCATTGGCTACAAGTGTAAGAAAATGAGAGGGCTAATGTTTAATGTCCACTAAACAAGCACTTCCCCTGCTATCATTTATATATGAGATTTGTTACCTTCAGTAAGATTTAAAACTTAGTGAAGGAGACAAAGCACATCTACATGATTCCTGTAGTTGTGTAGTTCTTATGAACTGAAACAGTTGCTCTGCAATTGCCACCACCGTAATTTTCTACGCACTAGATCCACCCAGTCTACAGTTCCCTTTCAAGAGGAACAGATGTACGAAGGAACACTCAATTAAAGGAGGGTAAGTCAGGAAATTAATACCTGGTCACACTTAAAAGGTTTACTTGAGTTTACTACGTGTGTTCATAAATTAACTCATTTAATGTTCAGAACGATTTCAAGAAGCTGGCATTATTTTTAGAAATATGGTGGCCTCCATCTCTGAGATTAAGGCTGGCTCAGGAGGATAGGTAAATTAGATGGCCATAGAGCTGGGACCTACATTAACCATAATATGCCTTTCAACGCATGCTTTCCCATGGCAATACACCTGTCTTAGGCAGCTGCTGAGCCAAAAGAGCGTATATTCTCCTCAGCCCTTTCGCCAACTACACAACCCAGGCAGACCTAGGTTAGGGTTGGAAGGAGGAAGTCAGCAACCGGCGGGATGAGATCACACACACCGCCCATCTGCGCTTGCGCACGACGGAGAGACACTTGGGAAAAGACGCCAGGAACTCTGGGTTGGCGCAGACGCAGAGCTACTTCAAGGCGGAACTGGGGCGTCCCCGGCTCTGGAGACCTAAACACCCGGTGTGAAAAGAAGGTGGCAGCCGCGGAGCGGTGCGCATGCGCAGACGGCTCTCGGGTTAAGGGTTGAGAGGCGGACCGGGGCGGCCAGCTGGGCTTGGAGCGGAGCAGCGGCAGGATGGACGAGGACGTGTTGACCACCCTGAAGATCCTCATCATCGGGGAGAGCGGCGTGGGCAAGTCCAGGTGAGGCGGCCTGGCGGGTCGTGGCGAGGGCGGCGGCCCGTGCCGCCGTGGCA